TGATTTTGATTTGATTTTGGTTTGTTTGTATGTGGATGGCCTTCTTATTATAGGTAGTAACAACTTTGAAATTGAGGAATTCAAAGGGTGAATGAAGTCATAATTTGAGATGACTAACTTGGAAATTATCAATTACTTCCTTGGTTTGGAGGTTGTTTATACCAGTAGGGGTTTATGCATTAGAAAAAATATATTTAGGAGATGCTGAAGAGGTTTCAAATGGAAAAATGAAAAGTAGTGACCCACTTGAGACAAATGTTAAGTTGGTAAAAAGAGAAACATAAATGTGTGTTGATGGCATACTGTACAAGTAGATTAAGGGATCATTGAGATTTTTGTGCAATAGTAGACCTAACATCAATTTTGTAGTTGGATTGGTTAGTAATTTTATGAGTGATCCAAGAGTCTCACACATGTTGCTGTCAAATGTATTTTGAGGTATCTAAAGGGAATACAAGAATTTGGCATGTTATTTCCTAAGGGAAAGGAGTATTGTATTGGCAGAAATTGAAGCATTTTCATATTTTGATTGATTTGGAGACAAAGGTGATAGAAAAAGTACTTCTAGTTACTTTTTTTTTTTTTTTCCAGTTTTTGAATGCACCAATATCTTGGTGTTCAAAAGAAGCAAAGTATGGTTGCTTTATCATCTAGTAAGGCAAAGTACATAGCTTTTTCACAAGCAACCTATATCAGATTTTATGGTTGGAATCACTACTTGAAAAGTTAAAGATTGAATGCAAGAAGTTAGTATAGTTGTTTGTTGACAACAAATTATCTATAAGTTTGGCCAAGAATCCAATTGCACATTGAAGAAGCAAGCATATGGAGACTAAGTTTCATCTCTTGAGAGACCAAGTGAGCAAGGCAAAAGCTAGAGTTGGTCTATTGTTGTATTGAGTTACATATGTTGCAGATGTTTTTACTAAATCATTGAAGATAGATAAATTTAAGGAGTTAAGGGAGATGCTATAGGAGGTGTGTCCTTAATTGGAACATTTGAATTAAAGGAGAATGCTAACTGTGTAATTTAAATGTATGGTCTGTATATTTAGTTTGTACATATATATAATATGAAGGTTTAATTTGTACATATAGTTTGATAGTAAAATCTATAGGTATTATATGTATACCTTAGTTTGTTAATGTTATATTTGTATCATTTGTTGAGTTGACAATTAGAGTTTAATGTACTCTATAAATATGTGTTTGTATTACTATTCTACATGAATGAGTGGTAATGTGTGAGAATAATGTTTTTCTCTGCTCAATTTTTACTCTCTATTGTTTGTTCTTTTTTTTTTTTTTTGTGGGATTTGGCTCCTCTGAAGTAAGATATATTTCACTTTAGAGAATAAAGTACAATAATAATAATTGATTTAAAAATTGATAGATATTATAGTTAATTTTAATTTTTTTTTATACATTATTTGATTTTATCACAATTTTCTTATCTTTGTTGTTGACTTTTTAATCAATAATTATTATTACACTTTATCCTTTGAAGTGCACCCTTCACTTTAGAGGAACAAAATTCTTCGTTGTGAAATTGTGTCATCCCAACATTAATTGCTACATAATTTAAGAAAATTGAATAAATTATTTTAAAAATATATTAACAGAAAATATTGATAGTAAATTTACTAAATTTTCCTAATTGTGACCAGGCATAATGCATATTGAAAATATTGAAAGCTAATAAGAATTATTTATGGAATTTTGGAACATGGAGCCTTATATGATGATTCCTTTATAAAATGAAATGAGTGTCCTTTCAATTAGATTTATTTATTTTAGCTAACATAATATGTAGTGTCCATATTATATTTTAATTTTGTTTAAGCTTTGTATAAAAAAAAAAAAAGTGACTAACTGTCATGCAAAATTCAAAGTTGTTATATAACGCGCAAGTTGTAATGAAAGAGTAATTTTATAAAAAAAATTAAATATTTCTTTTATCTAATTTGATATATTTTAAATAATCAAATCCTAATTTAACAAACTAAAATATTTAGTTAACAAACAAAAAAAAAATACTTATTATAAATGAGTTCATATCATTAGTTGCATTTATAATGTTAAAAAGAGAGAAAAGAAGAAAATCATTTTGTATTGAAGGGACAACTTATACACACCATGTACAACTCATGTTAAAATTTTTATTTTTGATTTTTTTAATTTTGTATGAAGGAAAATGTAAAATGTTTAAGTGTAGTAAAAATATAAAAAAAATTGATATAATTTGATTTCGTTTTATAAACTTATTTATTTAATTATATTGTTAATAATGCAATATGTATATTAATTTTTATTTATTATATAAAATAGTGTAATATAGACACTATGTGTCTAGCTTGTGTTTTTTTTTTTATATAAATAAAACTAAATGGTTAATAATAAAAAAATGCGAGCAGTAAACTGTTACAAAACAAGTTTATTTATTTATTTTTATTTTTATCTTTCTCGTATTTTTACAAATTTTTAATAATAGAACAAACACATACTTAATAATCTTAAACATTTATTCCATATTTTAACTATTGAGATTCTGAAAAATATTTTTTATCTATTAAATACTTCACAATCCTTTTAACTTGTGAGAACTTTAAAGATGTTTCGAAGATCAAATATATGGAAAGATGCTTCACTTTTTATTAACTCTTTCGATTTTCAATCACCTCAAACCCATCAGGTATGATAAAGCAGCAAAATTACAAATTAAACTTCATTCATCCTTTTTTTGTCATGTCAAAATCAAATTTACAAGGAATATATCTGTAGCTTTTAAAAGTACAACTCCATTGATCTGATATTTGAGTTAACTTTTACTCGTGTTGATGGATATATAGAGTATTAAAGTCCATGATTCAATCAATGTTTGAGTTACTTAATATGTATATATATAAATGTGATTAACAATAAAATGATCTAAATTTCAAAGTAGGGTCCATGCTGTGATGATCATCAAACAGCGATCTTTGTGGTCCGTATGCATCAGTGTCATGTATCGCGTCATAACGACGACATACATCACATAACCTCACAATTCTCTTCCATTCAAATTTTATGTGATACATGAATGTGAACTAAAGTTTTGAAATTTTATCTTACTTATTAGATTTACCTGTATTTTAACATGTGCTTTTTATAAACTATATGTTTATTATGTATAATTAAAATTTATAATAAGATTTATATAAATAAATAGTATATTTAAATACATCAATTATATTTAAAATTTTAGATTAATAATTTATGCAGTACATGATTATTATTAATTATTGATAATTTGTTTTAAAAGTATTAAAATTAATTTTATAAATAAATATGATAAATAAAATATTGACTTAGATAAGAAGTTAAAAGAATTATTAAAAACATTCTTGTTTAATATTGTTGTTTGCGTTTAATATAAAAGAATTATTTTGACTTTTTATTTTTAAAAAAATATTTATTTTAATCTTTTATTTTTAAAATTTTGAATGATTTGATTATTTTGAAGTAATTGTTGTTTTTAATTTTGAATATTTTCTTGTTATTATTTCAAGACTTAAAATTTTTATACTATATTACTTCATATACTATTGAATATAATATAAGTTCAAACATAGTATATGATAAATAAGTTTTCACTAGTTTCTTACTATTTTCTAATTAAATGTGACCGTGATGTATATTTTTTATATAATTTTTTAAAAAGTTTATAGTTTTGTATTTTTGTATTTATAATTTTACATTGACAAATATTAACATATGAGTACTAGAGAAACAATTCCCCTTCAAAACAGTCAAAGTTGGAAGTGTATAACAAAAGGAAAGGAAGGGACTCACCTGAGATAAAATTGGTGGGGCTGTTCTATGTGATGCGCACTTCACCGACAGCCAGAGGTTCAAGTCATCGTGCATGTTTCACCACTTCATATAATTCATTTTCCGTTTATGTCCTTAACCCGTATATGTTGCGTTCAGATTTATATACCAACAAAATATAAGAGACGACTCATTATCACACTGTGTGTTTTGTAATATTACGATTGAAAATCCAAGACTATGTGGATTTCTTCCTTATAAACTTTACAAATTTATGTGTTTTAAGTATATGTGAATTTCATCCTTATATACTTTAGTATAATATAAATTTTATTCATCTAATTATTAAATTATTTGATATTATATTGAACGTTATTTATAATAAATTTTTCATGATTTTAACTTTTTTAGTTATGTTATTCAAAAATAAATATTTACATATATTTTAAATATTATATTATATATTAAAATAAAACAATATGATATTACTACTAAATAATTTAAGAATTAAATAAAATTTGACATATATGATCTTTAGTATAATATTACATAATTTAATGATTAAATTTGTATTATACAAAAAATTATTAAATAGATAAAATTTGATATGAATTTTTAAATTTATATAAAATATGTCAGATTCTAACTTTCTCTTTTTACACACACACACATATATATATATATATATATATATATATATATATATATATATATAAATTTGTTGAGAAGTTATTTAAATATATTTTGATCTTACAATATTTGAAACATGACAGCTTACAAATCCAACGATTTTCTAACTAAAAGATAATTAAGCATATATATTATCAACACTAACAAATATGAAATTTGCAAGTTATCCAATAATAACTAAATATTAATGAAATTATCAACTTTTTTCATATTAAATATAAATATAAGCATATTATGAACAATATTTTATATAAACATAAAATTTGCAAGTTATCCAATAATAATCTAAAATCAAGTGATTTGATTGACTTATCAATAATCGTGTGAAATATTTTACCATCTTATAAAAGTTAAAAGATATAATGCTTCCGTTATATGACATATACGATTTTTCCTCTCCCACACACAATATTTTCAAGTTTGGGCGGTATTCCATGATAGCATTCCCCATTCTACAAGTACAGCAACGTTGTTCCACTAAGTGGCCTTATATTCTTGACTTTAGTTTTCACACCATAACCCTTTTCTCCTCTTTTTCTCAACATATATGCCCTCACACCCCATACCTCTTAGTAGAATAGAAGGGTGATTCAAGATTTTCTTCTCAAGATTATTCACCATGCCTTCTTCTACTCTTCAATGGTTAAGCCTTGTTGGCATCATTTGGCTCCAAGCCATAATTGGGACCAACACCAATTTCCCTGCATACTCTTCTCAGTTGAAAGAGCTTCTTTCCATCTCCCAAGTGCAGCTCAATAACCTTGCTTTTGCCTCTGATGCAGGCAAACTTTTTGGCTGGTTTTCTGGCCTTGCTTCTATTTACCTCCCCCTATGGCTTGTCCTCTTGATTGGTTCAACTCTAGGGTTGATTGGTTATGGTGTGCAATATCTCTTCATAACCAACGTAATCTCCTCTTTGTCCTATTGGCATGTCTTTTTGCTAACTTTTCTTGCTGGCAATAGCATTTGTTGGATCAACACAGTGTGCTATGTTGTCACCATAAGGAACTTCCTATCTGATCGCCAAGCTGCAGTGGGAATAACAACCAGTTATCAAGGATTAAGTGCAAAGATTTATGCCAACATTGTTGATGCTGTTGCGCCTCACAAGAAAGCTAGAACATTCCTCTTCTTGAACTCTCTCTTACCTTTGATAGTTGGCCTAATAGCAGCTCCTCTTGTCAGAGAAATTGAATTCACAGGTCCTAATTACAAGGGTGTTGGGTTTGCTGTGATGTTCGCCATAACCATTTCAACCGGAATATATGCTGTATTTAGCAGTTTGCAATTTGTCACAAACAAAGCATCCTCACTTGGTATCTTGATTGGTATTCTGGTATCTCTTGTCTTGCCTCTACTAGTGCCACTTTTAGTGAAGATCAAGGAGATAGAGAACAATAGAGAAAAATTGAGAGTATGTGATTTTACTATGGAGGACAATACTAACGAAGCGGGGGAAGGGAATGAGGTGAAAGATGAAGATGATGTAGAAGTTCAAGAATATGTTGTTGGCATTATTGAAGAAGTTGGAGTCAAGTTGATGTTGAGAAGAATAAATTTCTGGTTATATTTCTTGATCTACTTTTTTGGTGCAACAGTTGGTTTAGTATATCTTAATAACTTGGGACAAATAGCTGAATCCCGCGGTTGCTATGGTACTTCATCTTTGGTGTCTTTGTCTTCATCATTTGGATTCTTTGGACGTCTCATGCCATCTCTTATGTACTACTTCTACAGGTAAATGTTTCCTTCCTACCTCCACTATCTAACACCAACCTGAACAAGTGCATTTACACTTCTCATTTAATGCATATAATGACCACACCGATGTGTTAGTTGATCTGCATACAATGATATTTTTGAAAATGAAAAAAATTGTAAAATTAAAAGGGCCCCTCATTCTTTTTCAAATAGGTAAAAACTTACGTACAGTAATATATATAAGTGTCGATAGTACTGTTTTTTTAATCAGAATTGATATATTGTCTTGGTTATATGTGTAATAAAAGATATTTACAACAGTATCAATGATACATATGGTACGGTAGAACAGTGACAATGACATTTGAACATAGGATCTCACACAAATTAGCTAAATTCTTTACTACTGAGACAATTCTAGTGTGAATTGCTTCTATTATTGACATGATTTCTAATAGTAACTTTTATTTTTCAGGGGGAAGTGTAAAGTTTCAAGACCTGCTTCCATATTGGCAGTGATGGTTCCAACATCTGGTGCATTTTTCTTACTTCTCAACAAATCTGACCTAGCACTATACATCAGTACTGCAGTGATTGGAGTGTGCACTGGAGCAATAACTTCCCTTGCTGTTTCCACAACCACTGAGCTATTCGGTACTAAACATTTCTCAGTGAACCATAATGTGGTGGTGGCCAACATTCCCATAGGGTCCTTTGTATTTGGCTACACAGCTGCACTTTTTTACCGTAAGGAAGGGAATGAGAATGGGAAATGCATGGGCATGGAATGCTACAGAAACACTTTTATTATGTGGGGCTCTTTTTGTCTCCTTGGAACTCTTTTGGCTTTGATTCTACATGCTAGGACTCGTAAATTGTACTCACAAAATCAATAGTATACACATTTTATACTTTTATGTAGCTGTACTTTTTTCTCTTTTAATATACACACAGGACTTTGTGACTTGTAATCTCCTCTAAATTTTGCACTAGTGTAATATTGTAAATAGACTATTTCAAATTCAATAAATATAAACATACCTTTATTTTTTTTCTTTATTTTTTTACTATTATATTTATTACATGTTCCCTTTCTCTTTGCTTTTTTTTTTTTTTTTCTTTCTATCTTTCTCTTCCACCTATCCCTATTCTTACGTTAATCAATGTACTTTCGAATATAACTTAGGATTATATATATATATATATAGATATATATATAT